GGCAAGGCCAAAGCGAAATACAAACAGAATGTCTGTCACAGGCACAAGCCTTAGTGCTCTGGGCAGAGAGCAGTTAAGTGACACCGTCAAACAGTGCAGTAGCCCCAAGAGGACCAGAAGACTCGGTCTGCACGGTCGTGCAGATGTAACGAGTACCGGATGCAAAGTGCTTCACACCAGACACTGAATTACGTAAGCTGGGAGCCTCCACCCGCAGTCCCGCCTGTGGCTGAGAGCCCGTTCGCAGTCTGTCACAAAAACACAAACAATGTGGACAGAGCCCAACCTCGGGACCCAAGGAAGGAAAGGGCTGGGGAAGACAGGAGGAGGGGGAGCTGGCCGGCGGGGGACAGCAGGAAGCGGTGACAGTGTGAGGCGGCACTGGGGGCTCTCAAACCCCTGCTACAGGGCTGTTTCCGCTGGCTGACCTGCGGTGTGTCTGGGGCTCAGGTCGTGACGTGACCGCCCCAAGCAGGAGTCACCACGAGAAACAGTCCACTTTGGTCTACTCCACAGATCTCTCCAGGGCACCTCTCGGGGGAGGACAGTCCTAGGAAGGTGGCCCCAGAGCCTGCTCCCTGGCACCCACCAGTTCAAGGCTCAACCCGAACACCTGGCAGCTTATCAAGCAGGCCCCCTGTCCGGGAGGAGGCGGGAGCCTGATCACAGCCCCCCAGCCCCTGGGAGACCCTGCTGCGCAGAAGCACCGGGGCTGCAAACAGCACCTGTTCTGACCTAAACCCAGGGCGAGCCCGAGGAGTCCAAACTGCCCCCGCCACGGCAACCTGAGAGGCACGCAGACAGCTCTGTGATCAACACCGAGGGACGGAACGGTTATCACTTAAATTAACACAGCGGTTATCTCTGCCCAGGTGACTGGCCAGGTGCTGGAGGCCTGCTTTGGTCAGGACAGACTCCCCTCCCCCCACTCACGCCGCTCGGCGGCGAGCACTATGAACACAAACCACTGTCACCCCCTGACCGCAGGCCCTGCGACAGACCGAGGGACAGGGTGCACTGAAGGGGGACTGAGCGTGAGAATCTGCCAAGTGCGATGCGCCAGCATCCTGCGTGCGGTGACTAAGAACTGCCCCACGAGGACGCCCCCAGCTTCCTGGAGCCCCCGCAGCTGCCGCGGGCCAGGGCGCCATCGCCGACCCAGGGCAGGGCACAGCAAGGCACGTCCCCCACCCGCGGACACGCTCTCCGGACAGGCGGGCCCTGTCAGGGGCACTTCAGACGCCTGCCGGCAGCGGAAGTCTCGCCAGATCCCTTCGCCTACCTGAGGAAGTGCCAAGCACTCCCACCACATCTGTTTTCAAGCCACCCAGGAGAACCACACTGCAGCCCGAGGAAAGGTGGCGTGGCCTCGCTGGTGGTTCGGAAACTCTCGGGGGAAAGAACCAGACAGACAAGACCCTCTGTTTGCTGTCTTCCACCAGCCCCGGCTCCTAAATCACCCCTTGTACTAAACTGCCAGAACCCCAATTTGTTAGCAAGTCTTAAAAAGATAAATTCTTCACTGTATACGCTCTGCTTTATAATCTCCTGCTCCATCTCCCAATAAAGCTTTCACTTGAGACTTATGATGAAACAAGTGAGGTTTATTTAACCGCAGGATTTTCAGCTGAAACAACAGTTGGCATTTTTCCTTCCATCTCCGGGAGAACACAAATTTATGTACCTACAAGGTAATAAGGCAAGGTCTTAAATTTAATCAGAAGAAATATTTCACCTGCGGCAAACTGATAAATTATTTACAAAAGGGCTCCATCAGCCTGGCAAGGAAATCGGGCCAGAGAGTGTGGCCGATTCTGGAAAAAACGTCACCGTCATGGTTTCTCTAAACTCCTCTCAACCCCAAGTCACCTCTGTCAGAACGTTTCACCTGGAACAGTTAGAGCTGGAAGCGTGAGATGGGAAGACCAGAAGCCCTCTAGCACCGGGAAGGAAGCCAAGCCTGCAAGGCACGGCTCCTCCGATGCCGACAGGTTTCCGCACCCCGGTACTGGATGGAGGTTGCAGGATTCCCCAGCCCGCCCCCGCCCCCCACCCAGGGACTTGCGGAGGCCTGCGAGGGTTTCCGCAAATGCCAATGAAGGTGACCTTATTTCCCCTGGCCCGACCTACGAGCCTTGCAATAGCGAATACAGAGAAAGCGAAAACCAGACCTGTGGGCATCCACATCAAAGGTCTAGGAATCTAGTAACGCCCCCTTTGTTCCACTGCAGATGCAATCAACCTCTCCTTATTACTGCGGGAAACTCGAGAGCCCTGTGGAGTGCAATAAAGTGGCGTGTTTCGCTCTGCAATGTTTCAAAGGGCCTGATTTACAGTTAGGAACCAGGCGCCCTCGCACAGACACCTGAGAGCCGTGCCATCGGGTGCCAGGCCCCCCCCCCCGCGGCCCATCGTGAAGGTACATGGAGCAGGGAAGCGCGCCACGTGCCCCAGAACACATAGCACGACTGCCCCGTGACGGACACCAGCGGGCCAGCCGGGCGGGCACCCCACTGCATCCTTCACCTTGGGCTTGTCTCTGAAATGCCCAAGGCCCACTAACAGTTTGCAGCAGCAAAATTCTAAACGTTTTTATTGTACTTAAAGATGAATGTAACGGTCTTGGCACTCAGAAAACAAAGCATCAAATGTTCATTGCAGTGGCCCTGCCTCCTGAGCACAGGCCGGTGGCCCAGCCCAGCCGCACGGACGCATCTTTCCAGGCCGCGGCCGACACCCTATTTCAACTCCACTTGGCAAACCAACCCAGATGGACTCTCCCCGCACCGCCACACTGGCACCTCTTCCTGAGCATCCTATAATCTGGACGCATTCTCCCTTCGAACCAGCTCTCCTTCAAAACATCACTCTGTGGATCTGTTCTTGAACTCCCGCTGACTTTAACAAACTTCCTCAGGCCAACGACCGCCCCCCACGGGCCGCGCCGCTCCGTGCGGCTGCTGACACCCGCCCTGGGACGGTAACTACGCAGTCTGATACGTGATTCCACGGTGTGGTTTCGGGGCCTGCAGTCACTTCCCTGCATGCTAATGTTGCCTGCCCTACAGGTTAACGCCTCTCCAGACACCGTGGAAGAAACGTGCTCTCAGGCAGAAGTTCGGATTAACAGCAACGACAGACCCTACTTTAGAAGACGCCGCTTGCCGTCAGCTGGCACGAACTTGCTGGCGCCTCCCAAGCTAACCTGCGGCAGGGCCAGCAGTAGGTCGACTCCCGGCCTCCGGAAGCAACAGCAGCAGGCCGGCCAAGAGCCCTGTAAACCACAGCAAACGGAATGACCACGCCATCTCTCAGCACGTCACACACGATTCCGGAAGACGTCCCTGTAACCACTCCTACGGGGTGACTCTTTAAAAGGAAGAAAGCAACTAAAGTGGCACAAGCCCCTCCCACGAAGAACACAGTCGGGAAGCCTGAATTCATCCGTCACGTTCGTTTTCAAGCAAGTGTGTCCAGCGAAAAGCGAAAGCATGAAGTCGAACCCAGAAGACAGTCGGAAGCAGCCGAGTCGGAAAGACACTCTTGTAAACGTCAGTGGCGCCGACTCTCCACCTCCCGCACGCTGGTGGCACCAGGGCTCGTGATGCCCCCTGTGTGTGCTGTCCCACGTGGACCGTGAGGTCGGTCTGTGCCGCTCACTCGCCCCAGGTGCCTGCCTGGCCTCGCCGAGATCCTGGAGCACCTCTGACGTCCTCATGGAAGCTCTTTTCTGCTCATAACACCCGGCGTTTCAACCATTTTCAAATGAACACACATCTCAGTATCTCTCCGTCCTCATCCAAGCCGAGGCACGGTCCTCTCAAGAAAGAAGCTACCGCGTTTTCACATGGACCATCAAGAGGTCACCAGTTTGAGGGAGGAAGCAGCAAAGCCTTTAGACCTCGATCAGAACCTCCACTGAGAAGCTACTTCCACAGGACGAGAGTCCGTGGCCGCCGACTGGACAGGTCAGAGGTGCGAGGCACAAGGACACGTGTGAGGCAGAGGCGGTTCTTGACGCTTGGTCACCCCCCACCACGAGCAGCA